GGTGCTAGTATCAGTCATTGTGCAAAGATACTGTTTATAAGGTTGGGGAGCTCAGACTGAAGAAGTCACTTGGATGATAACGAAATATTTCTCCCACTGAAACGCTATGTTCAGATGAACAGAATCAACTTTTCATGATATCCTTACCTGGATGGTTGAGCATGCGCCAAGACATACAAAAATATAAAAGTTGTCTTTAGATCTAAAAAACACCTACCTTCCTTTAGTCTTCATGGCCAATATTAGCTGATTTCTAACTATCAGAGATGTATATGATCTGTTTTATAATGTCTAACATTAAGTTCATTAAGTTGAGCACCAATCGTCACTACATGACTGAAACATAAACTGTCTTTGAATAAAGCACATATACATGCGCACACAGCTCATGCTGCGTATTAAACAAAACAAAACAAAAAACAGGTCAGATGTCAGAATTACTTTATTTTTATTCTGTAGATTCCCAAAACTTAACAGACAGCTGGGGCCCGTTCTTCGTACGTCGCTTACTACATCCAAGATCAAATGACACATCCAAGACCAAATCATCGCGCTAACCGTGAGCTCGCTAATCCGGTTCTCCGAACACACCTGCTGTTGACGATTAGTACAGCTGGATGAAGTAATGTGAGATCACTGGGTGTCGTAAAAGGGGCTACGCATCGATAGTAGAAACATTGATCGGCAACCCTCTGATTGGTCGGCGAAAATGTCGAAGGAGCGCGCTCGGTATTTTTCGGCAGCAGAGCAAGAACTCTTGAGTGAGGGATTTCAGGAGTTTCAGAGTTTAATCAGAACGCAAGGGAACACTGCAAAGGCTGCAAAAGCAAGGAGAGAGGGCTGGCAGAAAGTTGCTGACAAATTAAACTCGTAAGTAATTTAATAATAACAATAATAATGGAGTGGATTTATATAGCGCTTTTCAAGGCACCCAAAGCGCTTTACAATGCCACTATTCAGTCACTCTCACATTCACACACTGGTGGAGGCAGCTACGGTTGTAGCCACAGCTGCCCTGGGGCAGACTGACAGAAGCCAGGCTGCCATATCGCGCCATCGGCCCCTCTGGCCAACACCAGTAGGCGGTAGGGTAGATTTATTATATTACACTATATTATCCAATATTATATTACATTATATTATAATATGTTATATTATATCCCCTTTCACATTAGAGCCACAACAGGACCCACTAGAACATGGGAACAAGTAAAAGTGAAATATAAGAATATCCTACAGAATGGTAATATTTATCACTTATATTGCTTTTCGTCTCTTGGAAAGAGACCCTGAAATAATCTGTTTGTTTGTTTATAACAGCAACCAAGAAAAGGGCAGAGCAAAAAAAGACAGGTGGTGGTCCTGCACCCCCTCGTCAACAAGTTGGTTAAGTAAATAATACCCTCACGGGAATATCGATATCTCTCAATGAGCACACTGTCGCGCTGAGCTAAAGGATCCTGTCTGTCCCGCAATATACGCTGAATTCTGAGGACTCTCCTTATCAATCTTGCACCTTCCGCAATGGGTGGCTCGCGTAAACGGACAGGACATGGCTGCGACAGGCTTCCCAAATCCACCTTCGCTTTTATAGCCGTGGTCTCTCATCTTGATTACACGAAGTAATTTACAATTACTACTCTGAAATATGAATTACATCTGTAATAATCACATACATGTAATAGAATGTTAATAGTTCATTTCCCTTTTTTAGGAAATGACCTGTATGTATCTGTGTGACATCAATAAAGGATCAAGTGCTGCATTATCTTTAGTTACATTGATGTTATTTATTTATGGTGAAACAGTGGTGGAATATCGCTGTTGCTTTCGTATAAATGAAGCGGACATACCTGCGTGGCCGCGATCTAATCCTGTTTACATAAAGTAAACCTGCTCCCGAGCAGGTTTACGCTTACGGCTCTGTTGCTATGACAGCAAGTCCCGGATGAGCTTCGGGGAACCGAACGATCCAAGATCACGCGAAATCGTCAACAATCTAATCCAGCTAACTTACTTAGCGAGGTACGAAGAACGGGCCCCAGGTGTTTATAATAGAGTTGAATAAATATTAAAAACATATTTTGATAATTTCTGGAGGATCTCTATGTATAGCATCAACACGTTGGTCCAGGTATCTCTGCTCCTAGTGATAAAGCTTGCAATTTCCACCTGAACTAAAACACTTTAATGTTAATTTTAAAACAAGTATAGCACATTTCTACATCAGGGAACAAAGATGAGTGAAATATTAATTTTCAACTATACAGAAAGCTATTCTACTTGCTCAGGAAAAAAATAAAACACTGAAATAAATTGATCCTTAACCATTGGAAATCACTAAAGTGAAATATATCTCGTGGTTAACTTCCACTGAGCTGCAAAAGCCAGCAGTGTTTTGTAAATTATGTTGTTCTCGCCAGGTATCATGAGTTTCAACTACCTGGTCAGCTAAGAGCTGAGGGGTGAGTTGTAAGACCAGCAGGAACACAGATCTCTGAAAATTAGGCACCTAGAAACATTTTACAAATGAAGATAGAGTATTATGCTAAAGGCTAGCAGTTTCATTTCTCCTTCTAGTCTTCTGTGCTAAAGGCTAGCTGTTTCCATTTCCCTGATTTTATGCTTTGGCTAGCAGTTTACATCTATTTCCAGTCTTTATGCGAAAGGCTAACAGTTTCTGCTTTTAGTTTTCAGTGCTAAAGGATAGTAATTTGAGTATCCCAGTCATTATGCTAAAGATTAGCAGTTTTCCCCTTGTTTTGAAACCCTTGGTGACGCTGTATTGTGAGGTTCATGCAGTTGGTGTCATTGCTGCTGTCAGATGAGCATGCAGTTATTTCCTCCATTCTGTGTGTTACATCACTGCAGCTGTTTTATTGCAGATTCAGCACTAGTGCCTCACTGCAGACATGCACCACCATCAATGATTCATGACCAAAACGGCAGCAGATGGGAAGATTGATGAACTTTAATGTCCTCTTTCAGGTTGTTATTTTAAATGATGGTGGACATTTTGGGTGTTTGTGGAAATGCAGCTGCTCCCTGAGGCAGTACAGTATGTTTGACACTAAAGGATGATGTCCTTATTTTTGAGGTAAATCTAAATTGGCACCGTGGACTTTATCAAACTGAAAGAGGACAGCATTGTTTTTGGCTATTTTGAGCAGCAGATTAAACTAAATTTTACAGTTTACTTTTAGGCAAAATTAAACTGCTATCTGTGTGTTTTCATGGTGATGAAGGAGCAGGTCAAACAGTGCAAAAGTGTGGCTCACTGTAGAAGTGAGCAGTAGAAGATGAGACTTCAGGCTTTGAATCAACCACTTTGTACAGCCGGCTCTCTGCACTGACAGAAACCATTTTGAATAAAATCTTTCTGGTAACTAAATTTTCCACTTTCTTCTCATTATTAGAGAGGAGGAATACACAGAAGGAGCCAACTACATATTTTTTTGTCATTATTAAAAGGGAAATGGACCCAAGATGCAGACTTAAAGCAAACTTGATGAAAAGAAAACTGACCTTTATTTAAACAGCAGCAAACCCCCATGTAGATGAAAACTGAGGTTCAAAACTCCAACCTATGGCAGAGAGCCACAAGACAACCAGTACCCAACAGGAAAACCAGGCAAAGAACTAAGAAACTCCAAGAACTTAAATACACACATGAGGTAATCAGGGAGTCAGTCAGTCGCAAAACGTAGGCCACATCCTTCGAAGGACCCGGCCCATGTAGACCGTGAAGGCCGGGTCCTCTGAAGACCGAGAAGGCCGGAAGTACGAGGCTGTGAAATGGGACGGTCTAGCCATCAGATTTGCGCTGTCTCGGTGGAGTTTAATAAACTCAGCCATCTGCTCCTTGCTATCTAAAAAAGAACAGGACACTGGCCATAAATTCTCGACTGTCTCACATTTCTGTTTAATCAGTTTTCTGTTTGACGTTTATTCAGCTGTGTGAAAATCCCGGAGGAACCCACCTGATGGATTAATAAAGTTTTATTTAATCTAATCTAATAACTTTGATCTCAGCCAAACCGATTTACTCCGGAACAAATAAAACACTAAAAAAAGCCAAACAATAAAATTTTTAAGTTATCCGAGTGACTTATATATCGTGTTTAACCTGAATAGCGAAAGACGGCGGGGGTCTGAAAACGATGAAGCCGGGAGTCTGCTGCTCTCGCCGGCTCGAGTGACCATTGAACCCCCGGTTAGATATCGAGCGAGTGGGTAACAGATGTCTCCGAAAACGTTGGAGCGCTTTTGAAAATATGTGGTGTTTTGATTAACCAAGCAGATATTTGAAGTTTACACGGCTACTTTCTCGCCTGAAAATAGGTTAAAAGTTTATTTTGTGACCCAGAAAGATTAATAAGGGTAATATTAAAACTTAGTAGCTAGCACCATTGTTGGAAATTGGAATTGGCTGGGCCGCGTTATTAATTTTGGGATATGGTGGGCCACGAAGGACACACCCGACCAATCCTTCAAATTCGTGGAAATGAAGGACGCATTTGTCGGCCGCATTTAAAGGAGTCGACAAATTGGGACAGCCTTCGTCGCCTGGCTGTGACGTAATCGGCCTTCAAATGCGGCCTCTGAAGGATGCAGCCTACGTTTTGGGACACAGCTAGAGAGAACAGCTGAGGAAAATAAGACACAAGTGAACAGAATCAAACTAACAAGACAGAGGGGAAGAAAAACTAAACACACTCACTATGTATTAACAGACCTCTCTGCATTGAATCATATCTGTTATTAACCTCTGTCTCTCTTCCACAGCATGTCTTTATCCTGTCTTCCTTCTCTCACCCCAACCGGTCGCAGCAGATGGCCGCCCCTCCCAGAGCCTGGTTCTGCCGGAGGTTTCTTCCTGTTAAAAGGGAGTTTTTCCTTCCCACTGTCGCCAAAGTGCTTGCTCATAGGGGGTCATATGATTGTTGGGTTTTTCTCTGTATCTATGAAGCGCCTTGAGGCGACTTTTGTTGTGATTTGGCGCTATATAAATAAAATTGAATTGAATTGAATTGAAGACACAAGAGACACAGGCTATCAATAATAATGCATAATGTTAGCAATTAGCAACAGTGAAATCACTCAGTCTAAGACTTCATAATGGGACTTCACTAATCATTCGACAATGCCACATTGGCTATATCTGTATTTTATGCCCTTTGTGGTCTGGGTAGGGTTGTGTGCTTTTCCGACAATATATTTAACTGACTAGTTTTTCTGATGTGCAGAGGTAAAAGAACCAAAGTTGGTCTGGCACATTCCTGATGAGACTGACTGCCTGTTCACAGGAAATATTATCTGTAAGAATTCAGTTCCTTTACAGGGAGAGATGAGGGACTCCACAATTTGAAGAGTTATTTTTGGTATTTTGAGCCAGAAGTGACCGTATTTAGACAAGAAAGTAGAGTATTAAGCTAGCTAACACTCACCAGCCATATAAACTGTGTGGGTTAGGTTCAGTTAGAGGTAAGGAATAGACTAATGCAATATCAGAAATTGACTCACAGAATCTCAAACTTTGATCAACTGTATCACACAGAAGTCCACAATATTCATCAGATAATCTATTTAAAATGCTTCTTCTTAAGGCACCAGCAGCACAAACACAATGATAGGTCATATCTACCAACTTCTGTTTTTCCTGGAAATCTCCTGGCTGTCACTATCCAAACGCAGCCAAACGCAGTATCCTGAATTAATGGCTATCCTACAAAAATATTAACTGTTCTCCATAGTTTCACCACCTATTAGCCAGAACAGTCATGCCCCTTACATTAAGCCTTACCAAATGAAAATGGATAAGATTCACCTGAGATTTTTTTACTAAGGGAGAAATTATCCAAAACCAGGTGTAACTGTGTTGAACATGGGACTCTGTAGGGACTGACTCACCTTTGGAGCCAGCCTTTAGTGGCTGTTAGAGGAACGACACTTTTTTGAACAATTATTTAACACAATAAAAACACGGACTGAGGTTTTTTACCCAGAGAGGATTTGGGTTTAGTAAACTTTTATTCCATAATTGATTACAGTTAAACTGTGTGGAAATTTCTAAAGCAAGATGAAGTCACTGAGTTATTGTGGTTTGTTAACAGCCAGCTCCAGTTATACTGGGTCAGCTGGTTTTAATGGCCCAGGTCGAGAATATTTGGCGGTTCTTCTGGCTCCACCTCCTGATTGGTGTCCTGCAGGAAAGAGAGAAGATGTTTAGAACAGGTAAACCACAAAGTGTAGAAAGTTGTGGTGAACAGGACAGATTTTTTTTTATTGTAATCTGCTGGAGGGTCATGGAAGAGCAGATGCTCTGGCTGTGGTTACTGCAGCTGCACAGATGTGCAAAGATATCTGCTAGAAGGTTGTATGGCTGGTGGTTGCACACATTGCAAGATTAGCAATAAGGAGACCCTGGTTCAAATACTGCTGATTCCTTTCAATTTAATTTTTTTCTGAATGTTTTAAGACTATATTATAAATTCTGGCTCCACCAAAGATGTGCCTCTTATTAAGCCGCACTTTACTAAAACCACTAAATGAAGCATTATCATTATCCATTATCATGGATCTGTAATTTCATGTATTAATTTGGTGATGCGGTGAAATTGAAGCAGTTTCCATGTCTCCTTTATTAACTTTAATGTTTAAATGTGTCCAGTTTAAACTTATAGAACTCTAATGTGCAGCTGTCACCTTATAAACAATTTATGTTTATGTTTAGGTTTATGGTGAAATCGTTGAGTGCACAGTGAAAATCGTCAGAACAAGACTGCTACATATAACCACCATGCTGGAAGCTGTCGGGACATGCTGTGGAAGATGATGTCAAAGGGGATACTGGGCAAATTATATTTATTTATTTTGGGGAGGGGGGGGTAGTTTAATTTGCCAACTTGTGAATTTGAATTTGATAAAATAATACCGTGTATGGTTTCAGATGAAGTTTGAGAAGAAATGTTTTTGTTTCAAGTCAGGACTGAAAACTCAGAACAATCAATAACTTCACATGGTTGCATATTTACACTGAGGTGTTTCGTCATTTCCCATAAAAGATCCTTTTACTATTAAACTTAATAAATCATTGCCCCTTCTGAGCTTTGAAGCTTTTTAATAATTAACACATTTCACCTACAGCAATAAATCTGACAGCTGACTGCAGCAAACCACATATTTACATTAAAAGTAATATTCTAAAATTATCTTTGTTCATTTATGTTTTTTTAAGCCTGTCTTGTATGGCAGCTTTTACAGTTATAATCAGAATGTGACTGTTGTTCCAAAAACATTTGCTTTTCCAAGATGAGCTCTATAGACTCTCTATAGGATCCTCTTGTTTGTGGCTTTCTTTTTCTACTTTTTACTTCTTTACTTATTTCTATTATTATTCACGAGTGCATGTGTAATATGGGAATGCCAAAGGTGACAAGGCGAAAGAAAAGGAGTAAAGAAGGAGGGAGAACACAGGGGAAAACATAAGAATAAGAGGACAGAGCACACGTGGAAAACACACAACACATACAAAAAAAAACCAAATCACACCTGAAAAAACAAAAACATGGATACACAAACCAGCAATCTACATGTGTGTGTATTGACAATGACAGTGAGAAATTACAATAATGCCCCCAGGAGCCAGAAGCAGACAGAGAAACACCCCGGAGACCCCTAGAGTACTGAAGACCCCAGGTCACACGTCTCGATGACAACTGTGTGCCCCTCCCAGCAGAAGGAGGAGGGAGGCCAGAGATGGAGCCCTCAAGGCCAAAGGGCAACAGCCCCATAGTACCAGACACCGACAATGCTGCCATGAACTGAGAACAGGGCTCCAGATGCAAGAAACTGCCCAACCACCACCAGAACCACCACCGCCACCATGAACCAACAGTCGAGACCCACCCTGGGTAGGGTGCAGGAAATGGGTGTAGGAAGACCTGCCCCGACTTGCCCACGTTGGGAGTGATATGCTGGGTGTGTCAGATTCTATATGTGTGAGTGATATGTTGTTTGAGGGGTGTGTGTGTGTGTGTGTGTGCGCTGTCATGATACTTAAGACCGGAATGAGAAAGCCAGTTAAGCATCTGGCTTGGTAAACCCACACCCCATCGCAGGGCGGGGGAGGCAGATCTGGGACCGTAAGCACAGCACCCCAGAGCACCATGGCAACCAAGGTCTACATCCACCGCAAAGGATAGTCTCCCTCACCTGAACACCCCACCCCTTCCACTGCTTTACCTTTTTCTAGAACTTGCCTGATTTTGGTGGATACGAGAAAGCTAATGCCCAGAACAGTGGGATCAGACTGTGTGCCCCACACCCCTTAAGCCCCACACACTATTTACAGCAATGAGAGTGAGGCTGATGTGAATTATCTCCTGCTGTGTGTAATGTGTGAGAGAACGAGAAAATGCTGCCCAGAAGACTCTGCCCAATTTCACCCTGCCACTCAGGAAATTATGAATCTATATGGAGTCACTTGGGACACTCTTTTCCTTTTTTAAATTAACCATCCATCTATCCATTCACTTCCGCTTATTCTTTTCAGGGTCGTGGGGGGCGCTGGAGCCTATCCCAGCTGTCATAGGGCGAAAGGGGGGGTACACCCTGGACAGGTCGCCAGTCTGTTGCAGGGCCAACACACAGAGACAGACAACCATTCGCACTCACTTTCACTCGCACATTCACACCTAGTGGCAATTTGGATTATCCAATTAACCTATCCCCACAAGCTGCATGTCTTTGGATGGTGGGAGGAAGCCGGAGTACCCACGCAAACATGGGGAGAACATGCAAACTCCACACAGAAAGACCCCGGCCTGATGGTGGAATTGAACTCAGGACCTTCTTGCTGTGCGGCAACAGTGCTAACCACCGTGCCACCGTGCTGCCTTTTAAATTAACCTTTACAACAAAAATGTGAAGTTAGTTAGTCTTCAGGACTAGTTCTCCAGGCTTCTTGAAGGATGTTCTTGGCTGCCTTTTGTTTCTTTCTCTGTCAAGATGATCCCACACTGCTTCAATAACATTGAGATCTGGGCTCTGGGGAGGCCAACCAATTAAGTGCTAATTTAAAATTTAAAATTGGTTCTTTGCTAAGTTGTCTGTTACGTATAGACGTATAGACAATACTGATTCATCCCTTCAGTTAGGCGCTTTTGCACTGCTTGAATGATTTATAGGTCAGTGTAAATTGGTTCAACACACACAAAAAACAAGTGGTCAAGTACAAGGACTGGACTGAAAATGAGTAAAAAAGCAGCCAATGTCCAAAGAAGAACTCTGAAAGGCCTCCAGAAAACCTGGAGAACTATTGCTCAGCTCATATTAATAAAGGTCTGGCTCATTTAAATCAAAATATAAAGAAATGAGAGGTGCCTAAAAAAGAAAGTGGATTCTAACATAACATTTCTTCCACATTGGGTCCCTGGGATTGCAGATCAGACTCACTGGGCAACTAAAACAGCTAATTTATTTCTATTAATTTGAATTTAGATATTTCATATGCTCCTTGCTTCACGCATAATAATTCGGTAGTTTCATATTTTAACTTAATAATTTAAATTTGCAGAATAATGAGTAGATAAAGCTTTAATATATTTACACCTGCTGTGTAAAACAAGCCAGTGGTGGATGGTAGCAGGTGCTTTCTTTCACAATGAAACTATCCAGAGCCAGCGGCTGGTCAGTGAGCTTTTTTAAACTTCTCCTCGTACCCCTGTTTATTTTAAACGATTATTTAAAAGAAAAGAAAATGTTATATATTCTAACTGGATGCCCAAATGATGATGACACCAAATGTGATCCTGTTAATTAACTGACATGAGATTTTTTTCTTTAGTTGGAGATTATCTGTGGCTATGACCAATGCTAAGCTACTCTGTTGCTGTCTGTATAGTCTTACACCATAACATCTAACTGAGACATGACACTGTTTCTAATCTTCTGATCTAACCCTCAGCAAACTTTTTTTTTAAATGTCAGTGTGACCTTGAAGGCTGATTGTGGTCTCAGGCATTAATGTGATTCTGGAGGTCACACAGCTGAAAACAAGCTGAAGCTCCTCTGATAGAGAAGGAATGTGTAAGCTGCAAAGTGAAGAGAACTAAGTGTCCTTCACAAGAACTCCGACAGCATAAACACGTTTAGATAATCTACTTTTTAGTGAACACATGGACATTCTAATAATGACGGATTGAATTTATATAGCGCTTTTTGAGATCTCAAAGCGCTTTACAATTCCACTATTCATTCACTCTCACACTCACACACTGGTGGAGGCAAGCTACAGTTGTAGCTACAGCTGCCCTGGGGCAGACTGACAGAAGCGAGGCTGCCATATCGCGCCATCGGCCCCTCTGGCCATCACCAGCAGGCGGTAGGTGAAGTGTCTTGCCCAAGCACACAACAACCAAGACTGTCCAAGCTGGGGCTCGAAACGGCAACCTTCTGATTACAAGACGAACGGCCAACTCTTGAGCCATGATCGCCCATTCTCTGAGTTATTTCTCAAGCAGCAAGAAATAATGTGTGCTGTTGGATTGTTATGCAGTGTTTCAGTGTTTTGTGAAATCATGCAGGAAGATGGCAGAATCTGGAGAAAAAGGAGAAAGCTACACATCATCAGGCTCCAATTAGATCGTTTAGTTCTTAAATTTTAAAGAAGGAGCCAAATTGTGTGCTGACAAATACTGTGTTTCTCAGTTCTTTATCAGGATTTTTATTAGGATGAACACACGCTTGCTTTTATCCTGAACAATTAAACAAGTATCAGTAACTATACTGATATTGTTCAGGGATATTGTCCACATGTTCTGTGTGGCATTTAATTTAATTTGTGAGCTGCCATTTAAACACAAGCTTTTTTCCCCCCTTTTATTTAAAATCGACATGCCTTCCAAATACAGAGAAGTGGCAAACGGTGGTCTGACCTTTCTCCTTTTCTCCTGAAAGTTCTGATATTATGAATAAAAATATTAAAGAATCAATAAATATATACTCTCTCTATATTTTTATCTTATGTATATTTACATAATGATAAATATTCTATAGAAATACACACTCAAAAATATTAAGGGAACAATCCTTTATCACAGCATAACACAAACTCAGTTAAACCTGAGGGATATCAATCAGGCCAGTTAGAAACACAAACCATTACGAATCTATTTTAGGTGCTTTGGTGCAAATGAAAGTG